ATGCCTACCTGGCTGGGGTCATTTGAGCCCAGTTTTCTTCCTGCCCAGGCAGGGGGTTGGACCTGAACATCTACAAGGTCCCTTCCGACCCTACTTCTATGATTCTATGAATTGATTAGGTAATAGGCAATATAGATCATGCTTTAGGTGCAAAGGGTTTGATCCTGCAGGATGCTAAGTGCTCTGGACCATATCAAGCTAAGTATTTGCATAAGCATATAAGCATATAACCTGCATAGTGCCATAAACATATTTACATTCTCTGTCCCAGGGCCAAAATGCTCAGAGATTATCCTGAGCTCTAAATCAGGACTTGGGTTGAAACTACACCTCTTATGTAGAGTCTAAGGGTGTTTAAATACGTGCTCTGGGAGTTGGGGCGGGGTAGGGGGCACTTTAATTAGAGCGGCTCTGAAATCTGCTCTAATTAAAGTGCCTGGAACATCATGTGTGTCAGTGTCACCATGCTGAAAAATGCTGGTGGGGGCGTTTTAACTAAAGATCATCAAAAGAGCTTTAATAAAAGCACCCCTGCTGCCATATGCCAGCACAGGGACACTGATGCATGTAATGCTGGAGTCTGCTGGAGCGTTGTAATTACTGTGCTCCATCACACTTGATTAATTGAGTATGCTCCGAAGCCCTGTAATTACAGTATGTTGGAGCAGCCTTGCTGCATGCGTATAGGTGCATACATGCATACTAACTTTCTGACAGTTAAGTCGATTTAACTTTTTAAAGTTGACTTAACTGTCAGAGCATACCCATGTATGTAGAGTGGAGTCGACTTAAATGCGGTGCAAGATGATGATAAATCTCCAAGGTGTATTATCTTGAGTCACATTAGTTAAGTCAACGCTAAGGGTGTGTCCAGACGAGTGCACATGTTCATTTTGTGATGCCTCAAACCTTTTGAGGCATCACAAAACACATGTGGCACAAGTGAAAGGGTTCTCCACTCAGAGGTAAAATTAGATTCTGGGAACTCCCAATATCTTAAAAAAAAAAATTGCAGCAAAACAGGGTGACACATGTGGCTGCAGCGTGTGCCACCCAGAACCAGAGCCTGGCTGGCCAGAGCTATGCTCTGGATGCCGGCCAGGCTCTGCATGCTCAGATCGCTACCGCTACAGCCCTGGGAGGCCCCCGGGATCCCAGGTAATTTTGCTGGAGCCAGCCCAAGTCCTGGCTCCAGCCTCTGCTACCCCATACAGGGTAATCTGCTGCATGCCAGAGTGTGCACGCAGGGTCGTTCTCTAGGGACAAGTAGCAGCGGCACAGCTATGTTCTGCTGCTATTTGTCCCCAGGGAAACACGCATGCATACTTGTCTAGATACACCCTTTGGGGCCAGTGCAGGGGAGGGCTCACAAGATGGCTGCCGTCGTGTAAAGGTGCTGTACATATGCACGCTCTGACATGGCTTAAGTCACCTTAGTTAAGTCAAGTTGACTTGGTCATGTGTATGCAGCCTAAGCCACTGACAGCTTTTGCAATATTTTATTTCTCCTCTCAGACAGAATGGGGATTTTTATAAGGAGAGATGGAGTTTCTTGACAACAAAATGCAAAGAGGTGAAACAGTAGGGAACAATTTTACACAGTCATGGTATTAGACAACAATTTTCTGTGTTACTAGTTTCAGTTTGTAGATGCAATCTGGAGCACAGCAAGTGAGAAGTAGAAAGAAGGGCAGGTAGAGTTAATATGTAACCTTTGATTTGCTTTCTGAATTTTTGGACTCTCGACAGTTCAAGTCAGGCTTGTGCCCATGTGTCGGTTACAGAGTTAGCACATTTATTTAGCTTTATACGCCACTGTATCCAAAGATAGTGGTATATCAATAATAGTATATGAAAAATAATCAGCTAAACATATTTTTTTAATGAAACTAGTAGAAGCAAACATCTCATAAACCAATTTAGATTTTTTATACCTTAAAATGCAAATTAAATCATACTATTGTGAGACAAATATCATTTAAATTCATCCACTGAGTTAGTCTTTTAAGTCTAAAGACTTCTCTGCCTCAAAGTGTAACAGTGAACCATTTACTGAAGATAACTGTTTTGCTTTTTTTAATATCCTTAACTAGAAAGAAATGGAAAGTGGTTAGCTGTGTCAGCCTGAAACCAGAAAGAAGGTAAGGCAGGGTGGCATCTTAGAGACTAACGGATTGAGAAGCATGAGCTTTCGTAGGCATGAGCTTTCAGATGACAAAATAGGTTGTTGCCTATGGAAGGTCAGGTTTTCCTGAACCAGTTAGTCTCCAACGCCACCCTGCCCTACTTTCCCTAGGACAGAAACAGTCATTCAAGAATTTCAAATGAAATGATAAAATGGTGGCAGTAAATATATTAACATTTTCTTGTGTTGCTGTTTAAAAACTCTATATCTAAACCTTTCCGTTTCCTTTACAGTGATTTGTTATCTTCCAATTATGTGGAGATTCATTATGAAGATGGAAAACAAAAACTTTCTAAGGTATTGTATATATTCAGTAGCAGAAAATTTTTTTCCCTAAGTGCACAATAATATGCACACTTTCTTCATTGTTTATGAGATTTTTTTAACTGCTAGAAAGTATTTTCCACCTGTATAAGGGAGCTTTATAATCTTGTCCAGTTGATGAAGACTCTTCTGTTAATGAGGAGAAAAATTGTAAAAAGTTTGGCCACTAGCTAAAAGTAAAAGTTTTAAAAGAAATTACTGCTTACTTAGCAGAACTGACAGTGAGAAAAAACCCCACAATACTTTAGAAAGTATAGTTTTGTGATTTTTTTTTTTTTTTTTTTTTTTTGTGGTCATACTCATACCTAAGGTCACTGTCACTACAGCCATCATTAATTATTTGTATATCCTTTAGCACAAGGCTACATGGGAATGGAAATATGTTACTAGACTTGCAATGATTTTTCTTGGCAAGAGTTGTTATAATACCATGAAACAGAAAAATGCATATAGAGTGAAACTCCTCTGAGACAGTGCAAAGCTGCTTGAATTCAACTTAATTTTTTGAAATTAGAACCTACTTTGAATTTAAGTGATGTTTTGAACAGAGATAAATTTCATTCCAAACAGAGTGTTGTTGTTGTCCGTGATGGTTAAGGAAATATACCAGCAGTGAGGGTTTCTTGGTGATATCTTTTACAGAACCAGCTGTGTGGTTCAAATGTTAGACAAGTTTTTTAGAAACGGGTACAGCCTAAGCTAAATATTAGATAAGACAATGGTTTGTGTTTAACTCCACATGTAAAAGAAGTTTAAAAGTTTTTAAAATCCAAAATTGGCTAAAATTCAGCATCTTCCATGTTTCAGAGGTGTACTTGGTAGCTGTGTTGGTGTGAGACAAAATGACATACAAAAAACTAGAACTTTTGGTTCCAAAATGATACCTTTCATTAGACTAAGAGTTCTAGTTTTTTGTATGTCTTTTTGTCTCAGACCAACACAGCTACCAAGTACACCCCTGAAACATGGAAGATGCCGAATTTTAGCTGATTTTTGGATTTTAAACTTCAATGCAGAACAACAAGGAAGTCTTTTTTACCTCCCTGCCTGCCATCTGATGCCTCCAGGGAAGGAATTCTACCTGATCAACACATCAAAGAGCTACTCAACACAGCTCACAAAGACACTCTCATGGACCCAGAGGGACAGCCTTCCATCTTCACCTCCCTCTGTGCAAAAATGAAGTTTATTTTCTACCTATGGGGACTTTATGCCATCTTGTACCATCTACACATTTCCCAGAACTTGACGAAGGGACTTTGATCCCAAAAGCTTGCAGAAAAGGACAATTTTCTTGCCATTTTCCAGTTGGTCTAATAAAAGGTATCATTTTGGAACCGAGAGTTCTACTTTTTTGTATGCCTTTTTGTCTCAGACCAATATTTTTTCCTGCATACTTCAGAGAGATCTGAAGTGGGACTGTGGACTTGAATATATGTAGGATCCTAGAACAAAAGCCTTTCACATGGGAAAAATATGCTGTCTACTTACAGCCTCTGATATTTAGCTTAAGCTGTACATACTATTTTCCCAGACCTGAGGAAGCCTGAAAGCCTGTGCTCGTCTAACATCTCTTTTAACTCTACAGTTGATCCAATAAAAGATATTCCAAAGAGAGAGAGTGTTTCACAGCATATTCCTTTGTAAGTAGGGAAGGGGAACAAAAATAAACATGGTTTTGTTTGTTGTAGAGGAAATAACAAAGGTTGCTCCAGTACTAGAATGAGAAAAAGCAGATACAGAGGCAGGGATATGAAATATGTTTTCAAGGGAACAATTTTCTTCTTTAAACTGACTAGGGTCTTGGAATTTTAAAGTTGCTACAAATGCCAGAGAACAATAGAAATGGTGAGCCTTTATATGAGGGGTCTACTTAACTCCTGACAAGACAAAGAAGTTTTCATGGCTTGATCATGGTGCTGATTTCATGTGCGTTTCCCTGCGGCCCTGTCTCTCACCGCTGATTGGCAGAGAGGCATATACCATATAATTTAATAGCAAATTACACAGGAAGTAAATTATATCATATAATTTATCATATTATTATAAATCTAAATATGAAATTTAAATCTAAATCTAAATATATTATAAATACAATTCATACTGTATATAAATTATAACATATCATCACAATTTATTATATGTAGCATTCTACAAAAAGTTTAGAAATACTTATTAATGCTAACCTTAATAGAAACATTTTTACTTCACTGACTGGTGCCTTCACTTAGTCTACGTCACTAGCAGACAGTAACTCTCAATCACATGATCTATGGCTGCAGTGTCTGTTATGCTGTCTTTGTATTACAGTAAGCACTGGGGCATTCTAAAACAGTGTATTATATGAATAGTACACTGGGTTGGGTTTTTTTGGTTGATTTTGTGGGAAATTGTGGTCCATGCAGTTTTCTGGAGATCACAGATAAAGCTGGTCTTTGTGGTTTCCGCAAAAACTGCAAAACTGTGAATTAAGTAGACCCCTACTTATGTGTGAAAGTCAGAGGGCAAAAAAGACCAGTGCAACACATCAATCCCATTTATGCCCAGTGCAACACATCAGTCCCATTTATGCCCTCAAATCCAATAGCGAAGGGTTTTTTGGGTCATAGCTTTTATTGGACCAAACGCATGGTTGGGATAAAGTTAGACAAGCTTTTGAGTGTAAGGCAGTTCTTCAGTAGGTCATCTCAAGTCCAAGGGGAAATTCATTGTGTGTGTGGTTGATTGTTCTGACCTTATTATTGAGAATCTCAGTTAGAGTTCAAATATTTCATGTGTGCAAAGTTTAAAATTGTTTATTGCAAGTGTTTCAGTACATAATCTTTTTTCCAATGGGCAAAGGATCTTGTGACATACGAAGGGATTTGCTTAGTTTCATTAAGACTCAGTACTCAGGAGAGCAAGCAAAAATGCTAAATGAAGCAAGAAAACAATTCCTTCTGGCATTTCCACAAACTCAAGCAATTGTATGCTGCAGCACCAGCATTGAGCAGTGCGGTTGCTGAATCATGAGTCTGACTGGAGGATTATATTAGAACTTTAGACTCAGCAAATGGGCCACCTTTGTATGCTGCAGTAACTTGATCCAAACTTCCTAGGGGATATTTTCTGAGTCAATTGATTTAGAAACGCTAATAGGGCTCTTGAGGTCATATAATCCACAAGAGGCATAATTAACACATGTTTAGAAAATATACAAAGAATTTATTTTGGAGGAGAATCAAGCAAGGGACATTTCTTAGGGTTTTAAAATCTGTTTCCTTTTTTTTTTTTTAAGATACAGATAAGTAGTATACTGTTTGTTTCTCTGAATTTAGAAGAGTAAAATCTTGATGAAACTTCTTCTTTCTAGAAATATGATATATTTATAGGAGTGAAAACATCTAGGAAGAAAATGTGCATCACTTACTAACATGAGTAATTTCTATGAAGCTGTGTGTAAGAAAGGCTTAAACAGTTTAGCTGTTAAAAGGAATTGTTCAAGTAGGGTTGGTTCTGGAAGTGCTCCACAGAAGTTGGACCACTGCATGTTGCATGTTTGAATAAATAGTGTCATGACTGAACTTGACTTCATGTTATTAGAATATATGAACCTAATTGTGCACAATAAAGCCTATTCTATATCTGTTTAGATTTTAAATGGAATAATAAATAATAAATACAAATACAAAATGAATATGATGCTGATGTTAATATTTAATTAAAATATTTAATTAAAAGCATAATGATTCCTCATACTGTAGGATAGTTTAGAATAATGGAGGAAACAATGAGACTAAAAACTAATTGTGCTGGTTTGAATCCAACTGGCATACAACATTTTAGTGAAAATGTTTTGAGGTTGAATAGTACATGTAGTAAGTGATGTGTGTGTGTGTGTGTGTGTGTGTAATACAGCTGTACTATACTGCAACTTTTTCAATAAAACTATTGCACATTTTTGCCTTGGCTTTAGCTGGGATTGTTGGCAGATATTAAAGGCTGGGCCCTTAACTGATAACGCTCTGTTGACATCAGTGGTGCCACACTGACCCATGACAGCTAAGTATCTGATATTAAAAATTTTCTAAATTTTAAATACTTTCTCCTGTGTTTAGACTCTTGAAAGTTTTAGAGTGGGATTAATATATTCTTTCTGAATAAGTATGGCTTGAATCATTCCTAATCTTGCTCTTGCTGCCAGATTTCTAATAATAAAAATTAAATAAATGCACTCTACTTGTTTACTGCATTAAACTATTTACATAGAGTAAGATTTACCATCCTTTTTCACAATGGCCAGTTCCTTAAGACTCTTAACAGTCCCAGCAAATTATCCCTCAAGTGGGTCATGGTATTTTCGGATTAGTAATTCTCCTATCCAGCAATAAGGATAGAATTAGATTTTAAGCCTATCAGTATAGAGATAATGGATTTAGATTTTGGTCTAGTAATTTGTTGGTATATGTGCAATTGCCTGAAATACAGAATACATAGGGTGCTCTGGAGATTTTACTTTTTTATAGAAAGTTGATTATTTATAGTCAGAATGAAAATTATTAATACCCTTGTGCTGCTCTACTTGCACTGTGTATAGAAATTAAATAAAAGGGATTAGGGAACAGGAGGAAAATCAGTATATGCATAAGAAGTGATATAGCTTGGCAGTATAAAAATGACTAAGGCCTTATTTTAAAATGGCCTTACCTTGAAACAAGAAATTATTGCAAATGGGTCGATGATGGTTTGAAAATGAATATCTTTCATCTGGATCATTAATATGTTGTAACCAAAATTGTATGCATTTTTTGACACTTTGAAGAACAGTTTGATAATATTTGCCATTTTGATTTAGTAATACTTTTGTTCTATCTTCCATATTTTTCATATTTTATGTTCTGCTACTTGGAGGTGGTTTTCTCTTTTACTCCTGTGTTTATTTGATAGTCTCTTAAAATAAAAATTATTTCAATACTGAAGGATGCCTTTCTTTT